TTAATTAAAAAGAATAAAAGAAATGTGATGATACATGGATATGTTAAAGAAAACAAAACATTCTAAAAACCCATCCAAACATTATCAATTGAATAACAAAATAAAAATGACCAACAAAAACCATGTAACAAAGGAATAATTTCCACTCAAGAGTTTAATATTATCAATAGATAATAAAATTACTTAAATAAAATTCCTCTTTTTTCAGAAAGAACCTCATCCACATCCTCTTTTGTTGGGTAAAGGGTAAAAAAATCCAGGTCATTCAAGTTTTACTTATTAAAAAAGATGGAAACAAAAATGTATCACATGAAAAGCACTTACAAAAAATTTCCATGGATTTGGTTCATGATCAACATCTTCCAAGTGTTGTTTCTCATTTCTGCATACTCATTATAATTAATGCCATGTAATTTAAATGGGAGAATGAGCAATAATACACTTTAATAACTTACATGTAACATGATGATCAAAGGCTTCATGGTCTGATAAGAGGACACTGCATAAATAAATAATTTTAAAACGATAAAAACAAAACTCTTAGAACTATGTGTAGCTTTCACACAGTATAATTAGGTGAAAAACTTATGGATAACCAGTCATCTGTCACCTACTTGAATGAAAAAAAAAAAACATTTCTCACAAAAAAAAAAAAAAACTAACACTTGAATACATGGCTAAAATAGCTAGAAAGTAGATCGCTATTTGACCTGTACATGAATAATATATATATATATATATATATATATATATATATATATATATATATATATATATATATATGTATCTTTCACTAAATTTAAATCAATGGGGTTTCTTACATAGACCTCAGCTTCTCTAATTTTCAAATTGGAAAATGATATTGGCCTTTAAACATCATATTAATTACAAAATCTCATGCTCTGATCAGATGAAAAGCTATACTTGGATTCTTTCTAGAGGATGATTATTACCCGGAAAACCATCATAAAAATATTTCATTCACTTAAACATTTTTTTGAGTGACAGTTTTATAAGAAACCCTCTAAATAAACATGAAATGATTGTAACTAACTTTCATCAAATGTGAATAATTAATATAACAAAGTACATGTTAAATAAAAAACTACCAAATAATACTTACATATTCACATAGGGCAAGAATTCCTCCAAATTAGTAAGAAAAAGACCACTGATTACTATATCATCTACCATCATTCCATAGCAAAGATCTATGCTCTCCAAAACCAAAGCACAAGAAAGCATCACTTAGATATGAATTTCATATCAATAACTTTTAAAGTAACTAAACATTTAACATAAAAAACAGATTTAATTCTTTGTTAGTGCATCATTATCCAGATAGCACTTTATCAGTGCAGCACATGATGAAAAGAGAAAAAAAAAAGGACATGTGCCTCATATAAACAACAATACACAATTTGATATAAGCTTTTTTTCCAAAATCATTTGCATCGAACCCATCAGATGTTGTAACAAGGACTTAAAGTAAATATTAAAGAACCAATCTGATAACATTCTTATTTTCTTTGAACTTTGCAACAACAGAAAAAAAAAAAAAAAAAAAAAAAAAGAAGGTATTTGGGTCTTATGGCATTTTTTCAACTTTAATATTTATAATATTGTATGCCATGCCAAATATCATAAAGGAACTGTATTATTGTCTAGTTAAAATTATCAAGTGCCATTTTGTACTGTTCAAAGTTGTTAATTGCTACCAAAAGACTTTACCATTTTGATCAACTTCTTTCAGCTTCTCCTTCAACATTAGAAAGATAAATCGATATGAACATGTATAAAAAGGGAAAATTAGGTAAGTTCAGTCCACCTGTGTGACTTCTGATACAGAGTTAGCAAATGCTGCTTTAGCAGCATCCTCTTCAATGGAGCATTTACATTTGGTTACAAGTTAAAGTTCCAACAATCATCTCAACCTAACCAAGTTCCTAATTCAAATTTAAAGAGTAACTCAACTGATTTCCCAGGCATTTCATCAAGCAGATAGAGGTTAAACATTTGGTATGTTACAAATCTTGGGCTCTTAGGGCTTAGAGAGCTTCTAGTATTAATGTTTCTTTAGGTTTTTTATGATCTTACAGGGGCACATCCATAATAGGAAACAGACAAAACATTAGCAGATGAAGTATTCCATGATCACATACCCATAAAAAGAGATTTGACTAGAACATCATCATCACATGATAAAATTGGTTATTCATAAGATTTCTCCATTTTTAGCTAATCTATAAATTTGGTCCCTGAAAGTATGATGTTATAACTATAATACACTTTTGGTCCCTGATCATAGCTAATCTATAAATTTGGGTCCATATTTAAGGTTCTTGTAACATTTCTGGTCTTTTTTAAATAAAATCTCATATACAATATTTTTATTCACAAAAGAGAACTGATTATTACCTATTTATATTGACCACTTGTTTTAAACATTTCCCTTCTCTGATGTCCCAATTCACTAAATAAAAAGTACACTTTTCAAAAATATAAAAAAAAAATTGACTAAGTAACAAATATATTATGTAAAAAATTACCCGGCGTACTAAATAAATGCTAAAGGCGTTTTCCATGCAAATTCAACATCTTTTTTTTATTGATTCAACATGAAGTATGCTAATCCCATCTATTCCTAAAGACAATAAATAAGCACAAGTTTTAGGCACAGAGGGGTAATTCTGAAAATACTCAAACAGGGTCATAGACTCATAGCTAAAACTACCTGAACACCTGCATATCAATTTCCCTGAGGAAAAATCACCCAACACCCTTATTTAAGATTCAATGGAACTAAAAGTGTACCTTTAAACAATAACATATTAACATGAAAGATTCATTTTGGTAAAATGTTCCTTGTTACCTTTAAGTTATTAACACCACTAAATCAGTAATGAAAATGGCAGAAATCATGAAAGATTGATTGACTCATGTTATTGGAGATGTTTAAGTCTGTTATCATGATAACAAAAGAGAGAGTGAAAAGTCCAACACTAACAAATCAGAACACTAGAAAGAAAAACTGACACCCTTAGAACATAAAAAGCATCAAGTGTTTTATAGTGAAAAGTCAAACACTAAATTGTGATTGAACAAAAAGACTTGAAGTACCTGAATAATAAGTTCTGAAAATGATACAAATAAGCTAATAATGCCATCTCTTCCATCAGCAACTGGGCCTGTAAGATTGGGCATTACCTGTAGTTTAATACATCTAAAGCATATAGAAAGATGATTTAAAACTTTGAAAATATAATAGAGGGAAAAAACCCAAGGATGTATGAATATGCATGATCGCCACTTCAGTCTGTTCAAAAAGTATACCCAACACAACACCCTTATTTGAGATTCAAGTTTTTTATAGTGTTAAGGGTAAAAACATACACCTCGATTCTCGGGGCATTACCATTTTGATCAACTTCTTTCAGCTTCTCCTTAATCTGCTTTGGCAACCAAAGAATCTCAGGTATCTGTAAGTTTAACAACTATTAGAAAGATAAACTGATATGAACATGTATAAAAAGGGAAAACTAGGTAAGTTCAGTCCACCTGTGTAACTTCTGAAACGGAGTTAGCAAAAGCTGCTATAGTATCCTTTTCAATGGAACATTTCCTTAACTTCATTTGGTACTTATAGGTTAAGCTCCCAACATAATCATCTCAACCTAACCAAGATCCTAGTTCAAATTTGAATTTTAGGCTTCAACTGATTTCCCAGGCATTTCATCAAACAGATAAAGGTTAAATATTTGGTATGTTACAAATCTTGGGCTCTTAGGGCTTAGACAGCTTCTAGTATTAATGTTTCTTTGGGTTGTTGATGATCTTACAGGGGCACATCCCAAATAGGAAACAGAATAAACCTTAGCTAATGAAGTATTCCATGATCACACACTCATAAAAAGAGATTTGAATAGAACATCATCATCATCTGATAAAATTGGTTATTCATAAGAATGCTGACAGAATCTGAAATACGTTCTCAAACAACCAACAAAAAACCATCCAAACACACATGAATTATCAAATAATCATGAAAACCACAGAAACACATTCTGTAATAAGCCTACCAGACAAGCTTAATGAAGATTTTACAGAAAAAACAAAAAACCTAATAAAAAGATAGAGAATAAAACCATAAAAAAGATAGAAAAAACTACAGAAATACAACGTAGTTTCATGATGACTTTATGTTGCAATAGAACTTGAGCACTTAGAAAGTCATATTTTACAGAAAAAACTCGCCACTAAGAAAAGAAAAAAGAGTTAAAAAAAGCAGCAACTAAACTTCGATCTTTTCTTGTCCATATATATGATATATACAGAGGAAATTTCAACTCGAAATTGAGAAAAAAATCCTAGAGAACTAAAAATAAACACGAGAAGGGAAAATAATAAGAACGAAGACTTACAATGATCTTGATAATTTCGTTGGATAATAGACATGATTGTGAGTGTGGTGCGAAGGACTGGGGTGCGAGGATCTCAGGAGAGTGGACTCACGAAGATCGGGCGGGATGAATCTCCGGCGGTGTTTGGAGAGCAGCGAGCGGAATGAGTGAAGAGTTGAAGAGGGAAGAAGAAAAGATTTTTTTTATATTAAGCGCCAATTCACCGACTCGATCCTTTCGACTTCCATTCCAACGGTTCTTTTATATAACTTCTTTCCAAACTTAAAATCTCTAAATTCCAATATTAACAAAAAAAACATTCCCATTAATCATAAGCCATTTTACCATTAACTTTTTATTTTTAGGGTTTTAACCCATCTTTTTACCTTTTATTATAAAATTGGTTTCTTATATTTCCTTTTTAATATTTATTTGGTCAAAACTTTTTTCCTTTTAATTTTTTTACAATTTTCTTTTTATATATTTTTATTAAAAAAGTCTTTATTTAAAAATTTATTTTGTTACACCTTTGTTTTATAGAAACTCATTTATATAATAAGTAGTTTTTTATAAATACTTTATTATCTATATTTTATGTATGTTTTCTAAAACTTCTTTGTTTTTATAAATTATATTTTTTATTTCATTTTATATATTTTACAAAAAGTATTTTTATAGCCATTTTACCATTAACTTTCGATTTTTACGGTTTTAACCCATCTTTTTGCCATATATATCCTTCTAAAGTTTGGATATTACGTCTATATCCTTGTAAAGTTTAAAATTACTTGTATGTCATTCCAAAACGATAATATTTACACATATATCAAAACACATAATTTAATTAGAGTTAAATTAATATAATATTCAGAAACTTATCTAAAATACAATTTTATATATGATCTTCCTGTTATACCATTTAGAGTAAATATAAAACCTTTTAATTGAGATTTAATATTACAATCAAATATCAAATATGAGACGCCATTTCATTCGATCTCATCTTGTTGATCTCAAAAACTCTTTTGCAAAAGTGGACAAACATGTCCTCTTCATCGCAGCCTCGACTAAAAAAGTTGTCTTCTTCATCACATGTATCTTCTCTTTCACATTTGATTAATTCCTTTTTAATTGCAATGGTACTTCACTCGTCGGAGAAAAATTATGGTATGGTAGGGTTTGGAATTTTCTAGATTTGTTTTGGTCTGGTATACTTGATGGTGAGTGACATATAATTTCATGCTTTTGTATCAATTCCCATTTAAGTTTTGTGTTTAGTCCATTAAAAAGGAGTGAGATATTCATGGACTCGTTGGGTGAGATTGGTGGCCAAACGTGTAATTTCTTTTGCAATTATGATTTGTCTACACGTTAGATAATTGTTTCATCATACATTCGAGTCATTCAAGTATTACACAATCGATTTTTTTTTTTAAAACTCAGGTCAATGCCCTTATACATACACGTTAAAGGACTAAAAAAAATTATCTTGATTAATCGTATAATCAAATGATTCAATTGTAAGTTGAGTTATATTATTTAATTGGAATGAATTAATTGATTCAACAGTTCTATCGACTTTTGTAAAAGAATTTTTGAGATATACAATTGAATAATATTTGCTCCCATATTTGATCATATTATTAAATCTCAATTATTTAATCTAAAGGGTATAACAGGAAGATCATATATAAAATTGAATTTTGGATAAGTTTTTAAATATTATATTAATTTAATTCTAATTAAATTACGTGTTTTGATATACATGTAAATCTTATGGTTATGGAATGATATACATGTAATTTTAAACTTTACAAGGATATAGACGTAATATCTAAACTTTAGAGGGATATATATGAAATTTGATCTCTTATATTTTCTATCTAATTTTTATTTGGTCAAAATATTTTTTTTTAAACTTTTTTACAATTTTCTTTTTATATATTTTTTTAAGAAGTCTTTAGAAATTTATTTTGTTACAACTTTGTTTTATAAAAACTCATTTTTATAAAAAAGTAGTTTTTTACCAATACCTTATTAAATGTATTCTATGTATGTTTTCTAAAACTTATTTGTTTTTATAAATTACATTTTTTAATTCATTTTATATATTTTAGAAAAAAATATTTTTTATACATTCTTCGACATGTTTATTTTTTTTACAAATTGTTTTTACAAAATTACTATTTGTTTGTAACTGTGTATAATAAGATTTCTCCATATTTAAATTTATTTTTTATCGAAATTCATTTTCTATTTTTTATATATTGGTTCTTAGGCATAATAGTTGTAATAATTATAAGTATTCAAAAAGCCAATTTTTTATAATTAAAAAAAATATTAGTTATAAATAACATAAATTAAAAAAAAATCATATTAAGATTATGTTTGGCATACTAACCAATAAAAAATAATGTTTGATAAAAACTAGCTAGTAAGCTAGCTAGAATATATTAAATGAGATAAAAGAGTATATTTAGAAAAAAAATATAAAAAAATAAAATAACTCATGAACAACTCGTCTAAATAGTTTTTTTTTATTAAAAAAAAAACTAGCATAGTTTTTTAATTTTTGTTTGTCAAACTTGACAACTTAAAAAATCTCATAAAATATGTGAAACATCCAAAAAATACAGTTAAAAATTTTAGTTTTTAATTCATTATTAAAACCATAAATATCATTATCAAGTAAACATCGTAAACCATGTATCTCAAAAACATCATCATATCTGTCAAGATATCAAAATATGATATCAAATATCAGAGTGAAATATCACACACTAGAAAACTATGGTGTGTGTGTGTGTGTGTGTTTGTGTCATGTGATCACCCCAAGCCCTTCCCTTTGCTCGCAGAAATACTTGAAACCAAAACTGAAAATTGTAAGCACAAAGCTTAATGAGATCCCCCAAACTACCACATACCATACACATAACATATCACATATAACATACAACATAACCTTGGGACTCCGCCCAGCTGCATCTGGACGAACCCGACATCGGACTCCTGCCTGGCATCGGGCTCACCCCAGCATCAGACCACGTCTGGCATCGGCCGCCCGACATCAGGCTTACCCGGACATACACACTCCATAACACATATCATAAACACATAACATAAACATATAACATACATCGAGCTTGCCCCGATTTCGGACCGAAGCCCGGAACACATAACACATATAAGCTAACATACATAGTGACATCGGACCTAGCTCCGGAACACATAACACATAACATGCATGAATCACAAAGACATCAAGCATACATAAACACTTCTCGGGTCCCCCCTCCCCCCCCCCCCCAACATCGGACCGAAGCTCGGACACATACTCTACATCGGGCTAACCCCAGTATCGGATTGAAGTCTGGCATATGCTAACATACATAAACGGGACGACATTAGTGCCTTAGACCTGTTCCTATTAGAGAAAAACTGACCTCTCAAACTGGATGTTGAACTTGTGTGTAGGGAATCTTTGTTGGCTGCTCCTACGACTCCACGGCTAACTCTATACAACAATACTTAGTCGAAAAAGTGAAAATACATCTAAGGGTAAAATGACCATTTTACCCCTGGTCAAAGTCAATGCTCTTGTTAAAGTCAACATTCTGGGTTGACCAACTCGTCGAGTCAACCTTTCAACTCGTCGAGCTCTTTAACTCATAAATCCTAAAACCGCAACCCAACTCACCGAGTAGTTCCTCTGACTCGTCGAGTCCTATTGAGCTGCTCATAGTCGCGACTTGGCAAATTAACTCGTCGAGTCCCTCTACAAACTTGTCGAGTTATACCATAAACTAAAACGGTACAACACGACCCGACTCGTCGAGTTCCCTCATGAACTCCACGAGTCCTTCTGTCTGATTGGCCATCTTAACAAATTAAGCCCTTACTCTCTAGATCTATAGTCCATACTTCGCTTGTTCACTGGAAATGACCTTTCTAAGGGTAAAGTTTACAACTTTACCTGTTAATAACCCTTTTTGAAGGGTTTAGCTAAAACCTTAATTCCTTTAGGACATAGATCTTGTCCAAACAGACTTAGTATTTCAAAACAAAGCATGAAAGCCTAGATTTAGGGCCTAAAAACCAGTTAACCACGTAAAGTCTCGAGCTTGCTTCCATGCATGGCCCATTTGGGGCTTAAAAGGCCATAACAACATCCTTAAGGTTTTCATGAGACTCAAATGGCATAAAGTTTGCACCTTAATGCCTTTATAGCCCTTAATAACTCCATATCCGAAAGTATAATCAGCTTAGGACATCCATGACTCATAAATCATGCTACTTGGACAAAAAACCCCATAAAAGAGACCATAAAGAGATCTAATGAACTATAAGGCAAGTTAAGAGTTTGATTACCAGAAAGTGATGAGAATCGAACGAAATCCCTGGATCTATAACCTTCTCCTTGAACCTTCAAGCTCCTTCTTATTCTTCTAAGCTTCGAGAACACACAAACCACTCAAAAATGGCAAAAAATGGCTCAATATCACTTAAGGTTGATTAAGGTTTCGAGATTAGGGCTTGGAGGTGATAAAGGTTGTGGTGGAGGCCATATATGATGCTTAAATAGGGCGCAAGCCCTAAGTATTAGGGTTTCCGTCTCGTCGATTCAAGACTCCGACTCATCGAATAGTTCACTTATAACCC